CCCCAAAACCCCAAAACCCCAAAACCCCAAAACCCCTTGATAGACAGGTTAATTGGAAATAAATGAATTTTTGATTTAATGGAAAATATTGGAGAGAAGTCAAAGCTTAGAAGAGTCTGAATTGACTTCACAGCTGGCTTTGTTTCAGGGGGTTGTTTCGCTTTATGTAGGACATCCACTTGATACTATTAAGGTCAGGATGCAGGTCACTGATGGGGAAAATTGTAAAGGAAGTTTGGCAATGTTTAAAAAAATTGCAATAAAAGAAGGAATCACAGGTCTTTACACGGGTGCTCTTTCACCTGTGCTCGGAAATGCTCCTGTGAATGCAGTTCTGTTTGCTAGCAATGATATAGCTGCAAGAGTCATGAAGAATATTGATTTATCAGAAGAAACTAAAATCTTTTGAGGGGGATGTTTCGGTGGATTGATGTGTTGATTTGTCAACTGCCCAATAGAGTTACTTAAAATAAAAATTAAGGCAACTCAGGAAAACCCAAGTCTTATTTAAAATAATTAGAGCTGAAGGATTCAATGGGCTCTTCTCTGCTTTTGTTCCAATCTTATGAAGAGATGTTCCAACTTATGGGATCTATTTTTTCACATATAACTATCTGACAAAGAAATTATGCGAGAACCAAGATCCTGACAGAAAGACTCCCAGGAATGTTATTGGAAAGATGGTTGCTGAAGGCTTATCAGGCCAAATCACTTGGACAACATCTTTCCCATCAGATGTTATAAAGAGCTATATCCAATATCACCCTGGTCATAGAGGCATTCTTAGAACAGCAAGATATATCTACCACAAATACGGAGCAGGTAAATTCTATAGAGGCCTTGCCCCATGCTTAATCAGAGCTTTCCCTGTAAACGCAATCGTGTTCATCACAGACGAAGAAACTGTCAACATTCTAAATTCTTATCTCTAACTCTACACATAAATCCCCATTCTCAACATAAAAACCTATTTGAGGGGTTTTGGGGTTTTGGGGTTTTGGGGTTTTGGGG